GATGGCCTCCCCGGGAGCCTCACTTGGTGCCTGTGATTGAAGAACACGTCCCTGGTCTCAGACTCCCCCCAGAAGGGAGAGGCCAGGGTGCACTCTGCACCAGCAATGTTTGGCGGGGTGATTATCAGGACAAAGGCCTCGAAGGGACCCTGCTGTTCCCTGGCGATACACAGAAAAGGAAGGGGCAGCCCAGGAAGACATTATAAGAAGGACCCCCCCACCGCCCACCTTAAGCATGCAGTCGACCTGCTCAGACACGCGGAGAACCGGGAGGACGCAGTCTGCAGAGGCCGCCGGGACCGGCTATGGAGTCGAGCCCCCCAACTTGAAATCCTGATTCAACCACTTAGAGCTGTGTGACATGGCGCAAGTTACTTTCCGGCTCTTTGCATCCATTTCCCTTAATAAAACAAGACACAATAGTACCAATTTTAGATACTAAAAGAAATAATGCACTTAAACACTTAGAACAGTGTCCAGCCACAGCGAGTGCCCATTGACTGTGATCTCTCATGAACCCCCACCTTTTAACTGATGGACAAAGATTTCCCAAAAGGCACAAACTCAGGGACAGTCGGTGCCGTCCCTGGCTGGCCCTGGTGCCTGGGCTCCCTGAGGCTCACTGTGTGACTCTGGCTGAGGGAGGCAGGGGTGAGACAAAGCCTGAGGCCAGGGCTGGGGGTCACACACGCCTCATTCATTCTGTAACCCGACTGGTGAAGGGTTGGCAAGAGCTCAGGTGCTGCTATGGCCCTCAGGGACACTGCAGTGACAGTGATGGGAAAGCCCCTGCCTCCGCAGATACAGGGGTATCAGAAAAAAGCATGCAGGCAAAGATGACCTAAGGTTTTTGCCTCTATCCCTGGGGTAACAAATGGAGGTGCCGTTTATTGAGACAGGGACCATAGGCGGGGGCAGCCCAGCAGCGGGATAAGGCAGCCGAGGTTGAGTCCAACTAGAAAACCAACTTAAAGACCGCAGAGGGACCCAGGTTCTCTCCTGGACATGGAAGAAGGCCATGAGGCCTATCATTGAAGAGGGTGGCCTTGGAAGATGGCCCCTTCCCTACAGCCCAGCTGCAGTGAGGGGCCTCTCCCCACGTCCACCAGCTGGGCCTTCCTTGGAGGGCCAGAGACACACGGGAACTTGGACGTGTGCCCCCCAGGACCTGAACCGAGCCTTCGTTACTCACCCACATACTTAAGCACAGCTGCACGCCAGGCTCAGATCCAGGGAATGGCAGCAAAAGTCCCCGTTCTCACAGCATCTGCCTCTGGGACAGAGACAGACACCTTCACACACACACACACATACACACACACGTGCATGCATGCACACACACACACACCAGTGAGGTCACTTGGGGCAAATAACTCTCTTCATCATGTCCCTTAACAGACACTGATGACAGTAAGTCGTATGTCACGGCCCTCTGCAGGGACTGAACGAGACGATTTTCACAAAGGTGCTTTGAACCCTGCCTGCTGCACAGTAAGCCGCCCGTGAGTGGATGCCGTGAACTTCACAATCGCGGCCCTTAGTGTGTCCATCCAAACACCTCTCTCCAATCCTCCCCACTGGTGGAAGGGAGAAGAAATGAGTCGCACTGCCCCAAAGCCTCTCCAAGCAACCTCGACCACAGGGTCCCTTTGCAGTGTGCCTCCTCGGTCCGTGTGGCGCATTCATCTGGCCAGTCTTTGGGGAAAGCTATGTATCTATTCATCTGTAACTTTTTTTTTTAAGAGACGGGATTTCACTCTGTTGCCCAGGTTGGAGTACAGTGGCACAAACACAGCTCACTGCAGCCTCGAGCTCCTGGGCTCAAGAGATCCTCCCACCTCAGCCTCTCAAGTAGCTAGGACTATAGGTGCATGCCACCATGTGCCAGCTTGGTTTTTTTATTATTATTATTTTTGTAGAGATGGGGTCTCACTATGTTGCCCAGGATAGTCTTGAACTCATGGGTTCAAGTGACCCTCCCACCTCAGCCCCGTAAAGTGCTGGGATTGTAAGCATGAGCCACCATGCTTGGCCTTGTAATTTTTAATCAAACACGTAGCATGTGGATACATTTTCTTTGTTAAAACAAAAAATAGAAGCATTACAGATAAAGTATTAGGTTTCCTTTGTCCACACCCCCAGTATCCTGCCTTCTCTCATGAGAGTATCCACTTCTGTTAGTCTCACCTTTCCCAAACTTCAACATTTACATATTCTAATATTAAGCCATTGAAAATAATGGCAGGGCACGGTGGCTCACACCTACAATCCCAGTGTTTTGGAAGGCCAAGGCAGGAGGATCACTTAAGGCCAGGAGTACGAGACCAGCCTGGGTAACACAGTGAGACCTTGTCTCTACAAAAATAAAAATAAAAACTGAAAGAAAATATAGAATATTGTTTGGTGGTTTGTTTTTTTTTGACATAAATAGCACCAGAGCTTTTTTCAATTAGTAATTAGTAAAAAAGTAATTACTTTTTTGATTAGTAATTAGCTTTTTTCAATTATGGCCTACCCATGCTGAGACATATATCTAAGTTTCTTCGCTTTTTTTTTTGTTTTTTTTTTTGTTTTTTTTTTTTTTGAGATGGAATCTCACTCCATCACCCAGACTGGAAGGCAGTGGTGCAATCTTGGTTCACTGCAACCTCAGCCTCCCAGATTCAAGCTATTCTCCTGCTTCAGCCTCCCGAGTAGCTGGGATTACAGGTATGCACCACCATGTCCAGCTAATTTTTATATTTTTAGTAGAGATGTGGTTTAGCCATGTTGGCCAGGCTGGTCTCAAACTCCTGACCTTGGGTGATCTAGTGAATAACGAAGACATGGTTCAGATCCCTGGGGGCACACATCCAAGTTCTGTGACAAGGACAAAGACATGAAATGTGGACAAGAAGTCATTCTTAAGAAATTCAGTCTATAGAAGCAGGCCAAGGGGGAAAAGATGTCAACTAGTGTGACACTATCCACATCTTCACTCCAGCTCATCACTGAAGATGGAGGCCTTGGAAGATGACCATCCCTTTTTTGCAACCCAGTGAGGGGCCTCTCCCCATGTCCACCAGCTGGGCCTTCCTTGGAGGACCAGAGACACACGGGAACTTGGCTACCAAAAAATGGTGATGATAAACCAGTAATCACCAGTGATGGCAGAGATAGGGGAAGTGGCACAGTCCCATACCTTGTGGGTGGATGTAGCAACAGAGCTGCGCAGAGGGCAATTTGGCCATAATCTTCAAAACTCAAACTGAGCACACCTGCTCCCAAGGCCCCACTTCTAGAAATCCACCCTGTGGAAATGTTCATGAACCACACAAAGAGGGATGTGTCGGGATATCGCTATCATTTGTGACAGAGAAAATGATCAGTCAGTGGAGAAACAAGTAAACAAGCCTATAACCATTCAAAGGAAAACCAGCAGTGATGAAGGAAAACGCGGGGTACATTTATTGCTGAGACATGGAAAATTTTTCAGATAATATCTTTGAATTGAAAAGCAAATTGCAAGATAATTACACATGTTCAAGTTCATTTGCACTTAGTTCAAGTTATGTAAAATATATGTATTGATATGTATACATACAGGCTCTTGGTACACAGAAAAGGGTCTAGAAAGATCCACACCAATGATGGTGATAATAGCTGAGGAGGGGAATGAAATGGGGGAAACTTTCTCTTTTTCCTCCATTTGAACTTTTTTTACGAGCAAGTATTCATATATTTTATATAAAGTCGTCCCTCAGTGTCAGAGGGGAATTGGTTCCAGGACACCCATAGGTACCGAGACCTGCAGATGCTCAAGTCCCTGACATAAAATGCTGTGATATTTGCGTATCACCTATGCACATCCTCCCGTATTCTTTAAATCATCTCTAGGTTACTTATAATACCTAATACGATGTAAATGCTATGTCAATAGTTGTTATACAGTATTGTTTTTATGTCTTTTTTTTTGTTGTATTGTTATTTTGGGGGGATTTTTTCTGAATACTTTCAATCTGCAGTTGATTGAATCCATGGATGCAGAACCTGCAGACACAGAGGGCCAACTGTAGGGACTCCTGTCACTAACCAAAAAGCATATTTAAAAAAATCAAAGCACAAGGCCTCCCATTCAAGTTGCACACACACTCATGCAGCCAAAGAAAACACCAGCCGGCAGTCCCTGCTCATGCGCGTGTCTCTCACGCCCTATCCCCTGAACACAGGCTCTCTTCTTCCATGCTAAGGCACTTGGCCGCTGCTCCAGCCTGGGCGGTTCCAGAAGTGGCCGTCTTGGGCTGGACGTGTCTTCCTGCCTTCACGCCACTCGGCCCCAGACCAATAGCCTTTGGGATATCTAAAGAAGGATGCTGGGAGGCTCCTGCTCAACTTTAAGCCAGATGCTCCTAGCTCCAGGACAATTGAGGACAATGTGGTTTTCCTCTTTAGAAGCCCGGGAGAGGAGTGGGGAAATTTGGTGGTGCATGCATGTGTGGTACACGCACACACACACGCACACGCACACACATCCTACTGACATCCTTAACCGGATGACATCCTGAGAAAGAAAACACCTTGAAATCAGCCCCCGAATAACTGAGTTGGCGAGACTCTTTACCTGGCATAAATCCCACCACCCCCACACTCCAAAGCAAGAGACTAGGTGCTCACTCACAGCACAAGGTCACATGCTCCCACTGCCTGAGTGGCAGCCCCTCCAGGGACCCTGCATACACACTGTGGGGTCCTGGCACTGCAGCAGCCACAAGGCTGTCACTGACACACACGTTTCAGTATGAGTAGGCCACAGAAATAAAACTCCCAAAGTGTAACAGAGAAAGACTCTGAGCTGTCATGGGGAGGAAGAGGCCATTCTGTTGCTTTTCCTGCCATCCCCAGAGACAGTGTCACCCTCCACGGGGACCTCTGTGCAATCAGACTACAAGCTTTGACAGGATAAGATTTGAAAAATCAAAAATAGACACAACATGGCCAAGATGCTCTAGACAACTGCTCACCCAGAGACCTTGAGAGAGGCCACATGTTGCTCCATATTTAAAGCCAGCTAGTTGGGTCCCAAGAAGTGGCAGCCAGATCTAAGCAGACGTATGCTTCATTCATTCACTCATTCATTCGCTCTGTAAATGAGGGAACAGACATGAAATGTGGACAAGGAGCCGTTCTTAAGAAACTCAGTCTAAAGAGGCAGGCCAAGGGGAAAAGATGTCCATTAGCATGACAACGTCCACATCTTCACCCCAGCTCAGCATCTGGCTGGAACTTTGATAACAGTGAGCCCGTTTCCCCTTCCCTCCACTGCAGGTGCTGGCTCCAGGACTTCAAAACTCTAAATGACTTTTAGCTCAAATGTGATACTCTGCAGTCTCCAAGTCCTTCCCTAACTCCAGGCTCATTCAAACATTGGCACCCAGGGCAGAGTCTGTCCATCTGCAGACCAGCTGACCGCCTAATCTGTCTCCGTGGTTGAAAGGGCAATAGTGTGGATCAGAGGAAAGACCTCAGGCTGCGTGCACTCAGAGGACCTTGGGCTGGTGCCTGGCTCTGCATGAATCTGGGGAGAAAAGCGGCTTATAGTTTCCAGACTGAATCATGAAGGCAGTGAGCAGGGAGAACAGGGTCCCGCATTCTACCTCCTGGAAAGGGTTCTTATGGGGGGATTCTGGGCAGCGGAGGATGCTCAGCTGAGCACCTACCATGTGAGCTGGGCACCCACGTGGGCCTCACAGAAGGTTCCTGTCCTGCCGGGCTCACAGGATACAAGCAAAGTGCAGCTCTAATTTTACCGGACCCTGCTACCGGCTTCTGTGAAAGCAGGCGTCGCACTCCTGGGCTCCTTCAGGCGGCACCACGGAAGCAACCCGTCCACACTCCTGATTTGTCGTGGGCGCCCAGACCCTTTGCGGGGGTCAGGCCTCCGGGTGGGCTCCCATCCAGGGCTCCTCAACCCTGGCCTGCGCCTCCAGCAAAGCCCCTGGGTTCCCCTTTTGCCCTCCAGCCTCAGTCTGGGGCGGTGAGGGTGGTGGAGAGGCGGGCAGCGGCCCCCTCCCGATGCACCCGGCCTCCCTCGTGCTCTGCGGAGCCGGTGGGCGCCAATCCCGCTGCGGTCGCCTACCCACCGCAATGCTTATGCCCCTGTCTCTCCCCCACCTCCTCCCGTCCCCTGAACACAGGCTCTCTTCTTCCATGCTAAGGCACTTGGCCGCAATGCGCGGGTCCCCCTGGGCGCCCACAGCTCAACAGCCCGGGTCCGTGCGCGGACACCCCCGGGGGCTCCCTCACCCACCTTGAGGACCTGCTGCTTGATGAGCGAGGGCACCATCACGATCATGACAGCGCCCAGCACCGCGCACAGAAGCCCCGCGACGCCCAGCGCCGCGGCAGCCCAGCGCGCTTTGGCGGGGCCGCCCATGTCTGCGCGCCTGGGGCCCACCAGCGGCTCGCAGGGCTCCGCGCCTGGCAGGAGACGGGGACGGCGACAGAAATGACACAGGCGGGGACTCCGGGCACTCGGGCCGCAGAGGCACGGTGGATCCGGGACGGCAGCGCACGCAGGAGCAGCCCAGCAGGTGGCCAGTGGTTTTATGCCCCATCGCCGGCGCCGCCAGACCGCCCCCGGGCCTCCTTGGGCTCCAGAATTCCGGCGGCAGGGGCGGGGCCTGAGCGGTCCGGGGGCGGGGGAGAGGCGGGGACGGGGCGGGGACGGGGCGGGGCGCTGATCGGACGGGCAGGGGGCGGGGTCATGGCCGCCAAGACACGCCCCGCTATGCTGCAGCTGACCCCACGGCCTCGCTTCCGTTTTGGGGCGGGAGCGGAGGAGGCCTCGTGGCCACTGTGCCAAAATGTCTATGGGGCCTGAGTCCCTCACCCTCTTGTTCCCTTCCCCTTCCTCCTCCCCTTCCCCCACCTATGTCTCCCCTCCTCCCAGCTCTCCCCTCTGAGCCTCTCACCCTCCCCTTTCCCTCCTCCTCCCCCTCCTGTATCGGGACCATCATCAAGGTTGGTCACAGTGATTAGGACTTCGCCAGCCCACCCAGGAACCCCAAAGCCCTTACAACGATCCACATGCCCCGCCACCACCCCATGGACCCTCATCTCCCCAGTCCGTCTCCAGCCTCACTGTCCCTGGAAGAAGCCTCACTGTCCCTGGAAGAAGCCCCGCAGGCTTCAACCCCAGGGCCTTCATACACCCTGCACAGGCAATTCTGTTCTCCCGGGTATCCGCCTGGCTCTATCCTTCATAACGTTGGTGCCACCATCACCCTATGACTGAGCACCCCCTGGCAGGTTCACATTCATTTGCATCCTTGCATTCTGACCATGTGCTCCAACTGGGATGCCAGCCCCTGAGGCGGGGCCCCCCCACTGGTCCTCCACTCTAGAACGTGGCCTGGCAGGGAATGCCTGCTCACAGTAAATATTCTAGAATGAATGACTGAGGAGTCTTCTAGGTGCTGGCCCCGTCCTTAGTGCTTTGCACACAATGGCTCCATTTCACAGATAAGAAAACTGGGTGGTGGCTCATGCCTGTAATCCCAGCACTTTGGGAGGCCACACAATGGCTCCATTTTACAGATAAAAAAACTGGGTGGTGGCTCATGCGTGTAATCCCAGCACTTTGGGAGGCCGAGGCAGGTGGATCACCTGAGGTTGGGAGTTGGAGACTAGCCTGACCAACATGAAGAAACCCCGTCTCTACTAAAAATATGAAATTAGCCAGGCGTAGTGACGCATGCCTGTAATCCCAGCTATTCGGGAGGCTGAGGCAGGAGAATCGCTTGAACCCGGGAGGCAGAGGTTGTGGTGAGCCGAGATAGCACCATTGCACTCCAGCCTGGGCAACAAGAGCGAAACTCCACCTCAAAAAAAAAAAAAAAGAAAAGAAAACTGACGCACAGGGAAGCTTAGTTAACCCAAACCGAGTTCCCGGTTTCTAATGAAGAGGGAAATCAATGATAAGCACGTGAGCAAATGAGTGAAGGATAATTGCAGGCAATTGCTCCAAGAAAACAGAACAGGCCCGGTGCACGGTGGCCCACAACTGTAATCCCAGCACTTTGGAAGGTCCAGGCGAGGGATCGCTTGAGGCCACTAGTTGGAGACCAGCCTGGGCAACATAGTGAGACCAGTCTCTACAGAAAATTAAAAGATTAGCCAGGCATAGTGGCATGCGCCTGTGGTCCCAGCTACTCAGGAGGCTGAGGCAGAAGGATCCCTTGAGTCCCGGAGTTCAAGGCTGCAGTGAGCCCTGATCTTACCACCACACTCCAGCCTGGGTGACAAGAAGACCCTGGGAAAAAGAAAAGGAAAAAAGAAAGAAGAGAGAGGGAGGAAAAGAAAACAGAAGAAGATGCACAGCAGCGGGCTGGCACTAAGTGGCAGTTGCCCTTAGATGGGTGAGTGTGTCCCTGAAGCCCTCCACACCCCCCTGAAGTCCTTCCCCACACCCCACCTGGCCTGCCTTCTGGTCCTCCAACACTAGCCCCACCTTGAGTTTTGGGCCCCTCACGTAGGCCAGTCCCCTCATTTTCTGAATGAAGTTATTGAGAGGACAAGAGACTTCTGGGTTACACAGGGACAGGAGGGTGGTGTCCCCAGCACCTGGGTAAGGCAGGTTCAGTCCTTGAATGCTCTAAACCTCTTACTTAACCCTAGAAGAAAGCAGCCTTCTCCCAGGGCCATCCTTAAGCAACATGTCTTGGCCTGAAGCAATATTTACGGAGCATCTGCTATGTTCTGGTTAGACAGCTTTGCCTGGCACTGGCTTCCTCTAAGGAGGCCGAATATGGTCCAGTGCCCCAAGGGGCAGGGCCCAACTCCTGAGGGAGGTCAGAGTGGCTAGGGTGAGGCTATGGTGGCCCAGGGGGACAGGTTCAGAGAAATCCAGGCTCTGGGGTTTCCCACATTGGAGTCCTAGGGCAAGTGGTGTGGACCTTTCTGTGCCTCAGTCTCCTCATCTATGAAACAGGGATTAGAAGAGCCGCTTTCCAAGGGCTACCGTGAGGATTAAACAAGTCAAAAACCGTGCCAGTGCTTAGAACAGTGCCTGGAATGTGTCAGTGCAACTGAGCTGGGGGCTGTCACTGTTATTTTCAGGACCTACATGACCTGGCTCCTGCCCATCTCTCTGCCTCCATCTCCTGCCGTCTCCCCCATTGTTTCTGTTCATTGAGCGTCCCCAGCTTTTTCTTGTGTCAGGACCTTTGCACTTACAGTTCCTCTGTCTAGGATACACTTCCCCTAGATCCTTCCACGGCTCCCCACTCTCCTCTTCCGGGCTCAGCTGAAAACAGGAGTCCTAGCCCACTGTCAGGCCAGCTTGTTTTGTGTGAAATGGTCTCATCTGTTTACTGTTCGTCTCCTCCAACTCCCAAGAGACAGAAGCTGACCCTGTTTCTCTTATCGATGTATCTCCAGCACCTGGAAAAATGCCTGGCACGTAACAGGTACTTAATAAATACTTTACTCAATCAGCTAATTAACTCACTTATTAATCAATCAAGTAACTGATCAATTGATTAATTAATATCACTTCATTGAATTCCTTAAGGCCTTCAACAGCCTTCAGCTGTGCAGTTGCCTTTTCTTAAATGACTTTTGTAGTTCTCAGAAATTAGCCAGTTAACTAAAATCTGTGGTCTGCCTGGCCCTGACACCCTCCCCCACTTCCTTGATACTGACCTGCCTTGACCATCTCACTCAGTCTAACTCTGATTCATGACCAAGTCTTCAAGGTCCAAATGTACGTGGTGCTTACCCAAGAAGGCTGCAAGGCCATGGTTGGAGAGCCCTCATGTCACGCCATGCTGTCACTCAACGAGAGAGAAGGGCAGAGATGACAGGGTGCTAGGACACGTAAGCCACCTTGGCCTTGCTGAGGGGAGTCACTTCCGGTGGCAGGGAGGGCAGCTTAAGGAGGGAAAAGAAGACTTCGCCATGTTTGAGGGAGAGGTCCTGCCCTGGAGAAAGTCAAAGATACAGAAGAAAATAAAGAGTACTGATAACAAAATGTGATCAACATGGTGTCACGGGGCTCCTGGAAAATCAAGTCAGATGCTTTTCCTCCTCTGCTCAGCATCCTCTCGTGATCAAAGATGGAGAGTGAGTGCAGGCAAGGACCTGGAGGGGTTGGAAGCTTCATGAGGTGCTCGTGGGATTGTAAAATGGTGCAGCCTCAAAAGGTAAACATAGGGGTCCCCTAAGACCCAGCAGTTCCACTCCTGGGTGTGTGCCCAGGATAAAGGAAAGTGTGTGTCCACATGGAAGCCTGGATGCAAATGTTCACAGCAGCCAAGCAGCGAAAACAACCCCCACCCCCATCAGCTGGTGAACAGGCAAATAAAATGTGGCATAACCACACACTGGAATATGACTCAGCATGAAAGGGAATGAAGTGCTGACGCATGCTACACCATGGATGAACCTTGAAAACACTGATAAGTGAAAGAAGCCAGACACAAAGGCCACATATATGATTCTGCTTATATAAAAATGTCCACAGTAGGTAGATCTATGCAGACAAAAATAGACCAGTGGTGGCCAGGGGCTGGGGAAAATGAGGAGTGACTGTTACAGGTTTGGGTTTCATTTTGGAGTGGTGAAAATGTTCCAAAAGTGATGGTAAAAGTGGTGGTAATGATGGTTGCACAACTCTGTGAATATACAAAAAGCCATTAAATTGCACACTTTATTTACTTTTATTTTTTAAGAGACAAGGTCTCGCTCTGTCACCCAGGCTGGAGTGCAGTGGTGTAATCTCCCTAAAGCCTTGAAGTCCTGGGTTCAAACCATCCTCCCGCCTCAGCCTCCTGACTAGCTTGGACAACAAGTATATGCCACCATGCACACCTGTTTTCATTTTTGTTGGGACAGGGTCTCGCTTTGTTGCCCAGGCTGCTCTCAAAATCCTGGTCATCCTCCCACCCTGGCCTCCCAAAGTGCTGGGATTACAAGTGTGAGCCATCATGCCTGGCCAAATTATATACTCTAAATGGGTGAATGTATGATATGCAAATTATATCTCAATAAAAACTGTTATTTTAAAGAAATGGCCAAGCATGGTGGCTCATGCCTATAATCCCAGTGATTTTGGAGGCTGAGGCAGGAGGATCCCTTGAGGCCAGGAGTTCAAGACCAGCCTGGGCAACATAGCCAGACCCCATCTATATAAAAAAATAAAAAATTAGACAGGTAAGGTGGCACGCACCTCTAGTTTCAGCTACTGAGGAGGCTGAGGTGGGAGAATCATGTGAGGCCAGGAAGTCGAGGCTGCAGTGAGTGAGTTATGATTGTGCCACTGCACTCCAGCCTGGGCAACACAGTGAGATCCTGTCTCTCAAGAAAACAAAAAGAAAGAAACCTTTCTGTGGCTCCCACCTCATTCACCGTAAAAGTCAAAGCCCTCACTATGGCCCACAAGATCACCACATCTCATGCTAGAGAGACAAAGTCAAAACACACCCAGATCGGCACATCTCCCTGACCTCATCCCCCTCCCTCCCCTTGCCCACTCTGCTCCAGCCACACCCTCCTCCCTGGAGCTCCTCCACCTGCCGCCCGGCTCGTGCCCCAGAACCTTTGCACTCCCTGGTGCCCTCCTGGAATGCTCCTCTCCCTAACACCCAGGAGGCTTATGCTCCCTTCCTTCAGGTCCATGCTCCAATGTCATCTTCTCAGCAATGACTGCCTTCCTGCCCACCCTTGGAAAGTTACACACCACCCACACGACCCTCCCTGTCCCCCTTGGCTGCTGCATTTCTCTCTGTGCACCGACCGCCCTCCAGGGCAGGTGTTTGCTTGTTTGATTGGCTTCCTTCCTCTTCTAGGATGAAAACAGCTCCACTGGGCAGGAATCTGCCTGTTTCGTCCATTGCTGTGCCCCCAGCTCCTGAACATCACGTGGCCCACAGTAGGCCCTTGGTCAGTGTGTGTGGATGAATCACATCTACCAGAGTCCAAGGTAAAAGCTTGCCTCTGCTGCCGGGCCATGCGGCTGCCTGGCGTGGTGGCCTGGGGCAAGTTGCTCAGCCTCTCTGTGCCCTGGCTCCCTTATCAGTGGCTCGGGCATGGTCTGAGTCATGCCTGCACCCCAGGGTCGTCATGAGGATTACATGGGCTCATCCTGGTCATATGCTTCCCGAGGTGACTGTGTGAGGCGGAGCCAACACCCCCTGCAGGCAGCCGCATGCCCTGTGCCCCACCCCAGCCTGGGAAGAATCACTCTCGTCCCCAGGGGCAACAGAACACACTGCAGGGAAGCTGAAGGGCTTCCTTAAAGGAGGCACAGCTGGTTCCTGGTGGAGCAGAGAGCAGAGATGTGAACCAGTGACTTGGCACGAACATTACCACTACGTTGTTTGCTGAGGGAAAGGAAAAAGAGGAAGAAAGTGAAGGAAAGTGAAGAGACGGGGGTGAGAAAGGACAAAGTAAAAAGCAAAGGAAGAGGAAACCTTATTTTTTTTTTCTTTTGAGATGGAGACTCGCTCTGTGGCCCAGGCTGGAATGCAGTGGTGTGATCTCGGCTCACTGCAACCTCTGCCTCCCGGATTCAAGCAATAATTCTCCCTGTCTCAGCCTCCCGAGAAGATGGGATTACAGGTGCATGCCACACGCCCGGCTAATTTTTTTTTTTTTTTTTTTTTTTTTTTTTTTCCTGAGGAGGAGTCTTACTTTGTTCCCCAGGGTAGAGTGCAATGGTGTGATCTTGGCTCACTGCAATCTTCTCCTTCCAGTTTCAAGCAATTCTCCCGCCTCAGCCTCCCAAGTAGCTGGGATTACAGGCACCTGCCATCATGCCTGGATAATTTTTGTATTTTTGTGGAGACAGGATTTCACCATGTTGGCCAGGCTGGTCTTGAACTCCTGACCTCAGGTGGTCTGCCCACCTCGGTCCCCAAAGTTCTGGGATTACAGGTGTGAGCCACTGCACCCAGCCAATTTTTGTATTTTTAATGGAGATTCGGTTTTACTATGTTGGCCAGGCTGGTCTCAAACTCCTGGGCTCAAGTGATCCACCTGCCGCAGCCTTCCTAAATGCTGGGATTACAGGCATGAGCCACCTGGCCAGGAAAGCATTTTAGCCACATTTGCCACCTGGATCACTGCTGGTGAGGGAGGAAAGAGAGCTCATGTGTGCCTGCTGGATTCATTCAGTTCACATTGAGCTCCTACTCTGTGCTGGGCACTGTGTTGGGGGCTTGGGGACCCAGCAGGGACCATAAGCAAGCCCCTGGCCTCGCAAGTCCTACATGTTAATAGACAAGCAATAACAATGAGTGATAAACATCATCATTGGTGATTTTATAAAACGTTAGGGCTGTGGGCCCGGCATAGTGGCTCATACCTGTAATCCTAGCACTTTAGGAGGCCGAGGCAGGTGCTGTGCTTGAGCTCAGGAGTTCGAGGCCAGCCTGGCCAACATAGCAAACCCTGTCACTACAATAAATACACACACACACACACAAAAAGTAGCTGGGCATGGTGGCACGCACCTGTAGTCCCAGAAACTCAGGAGGCTGAGGTGGGAGGATCACTTAAGCTCAGGAGGCAGGGGTTGCAGTGATCCAAGATGGCACCACTGCACTCCAGCCTGGACGACAGAGCAAGACCCCATCTCAAAAAACAAAGCAAAATGACATTAGAGCTGTGCAATCCAATATAGTAGCCACCAGCCTTATGTGGCTATGGGCCACTTAACACGGAGCTAGTCTGACATGAGATATGCCGTGTCATATTCATCCCAGATTTCAAAGGCTTTGTATGAAAACAGCATAAAATATCTCAACATTCTTATATTGATCACACATTGAAATGACACTATCTGATATCAAGGGTTGAATAATAGATACAAGTTAAATTAATTTCACCTGTTTCTTTTTACTTTTTAAAATGTGACCCCTAAAATTCTTTTATCTTTTTTTCTTCTTTCAGAACAGGTTCCTCTGTCATCAAATGTTTCAAATTGTGTGTGTGGTTTGTGCACGCTGTGTTTCCATGGGACAGGCAGTTAGAGGACGATGCATGCTTTAGGGGGAGAAACTCAATAGTGTAAACGCTACTGGGGGAGAGGGGTTGCTATTTAAATGGGGTGTTTGGAGACAGCCTCAGTGAGAAGGTGACATTTGGGCAAAGACCTGCAGGAAGTGCAGGAACATGTTGAGATCCAGGGAAGACCATTCCAGGCAGAGGGGATAGCCAGGGCAACGGCTCTGAGGCCGGAGGTGCCTGCATAGATTTTCATCAGAATGTGAATCTCTCATGTTGCTGCAAGTGACTTTTTAGGACCTGTTTCTCTTCAGTAAGTCAAAATGCACCCTGCAATATTGTGAATATCAGAGAAGGTCTCCAGAGCCCCCAAACAGCCCCCTCCAGAAACTTAGCCTCTGCCCCTGGACTTTAGCCCCTGTGCTAGAGTCTGAACGTGTCCCCTGAAATTTGTACGTTGAAACCGAATTACCATGTGATGGTATTAGGAGGTGGGGCTTTTGGGAAGTGATGAGGTCATGGGGGAAGAGGCCTCATTGATGGGATTAGGGCCCTTACACACGAGGCTCCAGAGAGCTGCCTCTCCCCTTCCACCAGGCAAGGACGCAGAGAGAAGTTGCCATCCGTGAACCAGGACGCAGGGCCTCACCACCACCAAATCTGCTGGCACCTTGATCTTGGACTTCCCAGCCTCCAGAACTGTGAGAAATAGGTGTCCATTGTCTATGAGCTGCCCCAGCCTATGGTAGTCTGTTTTAGAAGCCTGAACAGACTGAGAGAGGCCCTGTAAATCCTGTCTTCCTTCAAAATCACACCTTTCTGAGTCCCCGACCACTGACTTCCCTCAGGAGCCTTTCCTTTCTGACTCAGGGATAGCAATCAATCGTCACCTTTGTCCCTGGCCTTTGGGGACTCTGATATGTCCTCTCTGACAAGGACTAACCCTCCAACACAGACGTGCTTTCCAGGACAAAGGTGCAAGTGTGTGGGGAGGACCCAGCTGGCAGCCGTGAGCTAATAGGCCGCTCCATGGGCCAGGTCACCAGAGAAGAGAAGTTTCTATCAGCTCCCACTCTCAACAGCAGCTGGAGAAAGGAGGATGACTCCTATCCCAGGACCCAGTAGGTTCCTCTGAGACCACCTGGTCCTATCCTAACTACCAGAGAAGGGATGGACATGCTCAATCATTCATTCATTCATGTGGCAAATACTTGCTGAGCACTCACTATGCATCAGGCCTACTGTGTGCTAGGGCCTGGGGGGAGATGGGGAAGAAGGCAGGCAGGTCCTCTCTGCCCTGGCCTTACTTTTTTTGAGACAGGGTCTTGTTCTGACACCCAAGCTGGAGCGCAAAACTCACTGCAGCCTCCATCCCCTGGGCTCAAGCCATCCCCCTACCCTCAACCTCCTACAGGCATGTGCCACTACACCAGCCTTTTTTTTTTTTTTTTTTTTTTTTAAGACAAGAGTCTTGCTCTGTCGCCCAGGCTGGAGTGCAGTGGCATGATCTCAGCTCACAGCAACCTCCGCCTCCTGGGTTCAAGCAATTCTCCTGCCTCAGCCTCCCTCCCAAGTAGCTGGGACTACAGGCGCCCGCCACCACTCCCAGCTAATTTTTGTATTTTTTTTTTTTTTTTGAGACGGAGTCTCGCTCTGTCGCCCAGGCTGGAGTGCAGTGGCGGGATCTCAGCTCACTGCAAGCCCCGCCTCCCGGGTTCACGCCATTCTCCTGCCTCAGCCTCCTGAGCAGCTGGGACTACAGGTGCCCGCCACCTCGCCCGGCTAGTTTTTTTGCATTTTTTAGTAGAGACGGGGTTTCACCGGGTTAGCCAGGATGGTTTCGATCTCCTGACCTCGTGATCCGCCCGTCTCGGCCTCCCAAAGTGCTGGGATTACAGGCTTGAGCCACCGCGCCCGGCCCAATTTTTGTATTTTTTAGTAGAAATGGGGTTTCACCATGTTGGCCAGGCTGATCTCAAACTCTTGACCTCAAATGATCCACCCACCTCAGCCTCCCAAAGTGCTGGGATTACAGGTGTGAGCCACCACACCCAGCTGAGCTAATATTTTTTTAATTTTTATCTTTTTTAACAGAGAATGGGGGTCCCACTATGTAGCCCAGGCAACATAGTGGCCTGTGACACCCCAACTGCAGTGAACTGAAACACACAGGCTGGCTGCAGCTCTCGAGCAAAGGTCACGGTCCTTGGAAGGCAGCCCTCTCTGACTCCTCTCTCTTCCCGGGTTCCAGGCGACACTCCCTGCCCTCCTCCCCTCAGCCCCAGGGGTGGGAGCAGCTTCACTCTTCGTTTTGTTTTCCCTGCACCTTTGTATATATCCTCGAAGTCTCCAATTTCGAGTGTTCTCTCCACTTCCTGCTCAGACCACTGCAGGAACTGATTCTGTGGTGGGAAAGGAATTAGAGGAGAGAAAGAAAGGCTTAGAGGCAGCATCCAACTGTTGGGGTAGAAGCCTGGAGGTAACAGCCGGCACAGTGGCTCATGCCTGTAATCCCAGCACTTTGGGAGGCCAAGGCGGGAGGATGGCTTGAGGCCAGGAGTTCAAGACCAACCTGAGCAACATGGTGAAATCCCCTCTCTACTAAAAATACACAAAATTAGCCAGGCTTGGTGGCATGTGCCTGTAGTCCCAGCTACTCGGGAGGCTGAGGCAGGAGAATCACTTGAGCCCAGGAAGTAGAGGCTGCAGTGAGACATGATCGTGCCACTGCACTCCAGCCTGGACAACAAGAGTGAAACCCTGACTCAAAAATAAAGAAAAAAAAAAGTAGGCTGTCTTTAGAAAAAAAAAAGAAAAAGGTTGACTAATAGTTAAAAACAGCAAGTCTGGAGTGAGACAGTCCAGGTTCAAAGCCCTGCTCTCCTATGGACACGTTACTTAACTATCTGGGCCTCGATTGTCCCATCTGTAAAATGGGACTAATAAGACCCACCTCAGAGGTGCTGAATAAGTGAATTGCTTGAACCTGGAAGGTAGAGACTGCAGTGAGCCAAGATCATGGCACTGCGCTCCAGCCTGGGTGACAGCAAGACTCTGTCTCAAAAAACAAAAAACAACAAAAAAAAATTAACATAGAATTACCATGTGATGCATCAATCTCACTTCTGGGTATAAAAGAAATGAAACTGGGGACTTGAAGAGGAATCTGAACACCCGCGTTTATTGCAGCGCTGTTCACGATGGCCCAACAGTGGGAGCAACCCGAGTGTCTCCTGATGGGTGGTGGGTAATAAGCTGGGGCCCATCCACACGTTGGAATACAATTCAGCCTGGAAAAGGAAGACATTCTGACGCACACTGCAACATGCACGGGCCTTGAGGAAGTTATGAGAATGAAATAAACCAGCCACAACAGGACAAATACCGTACGATTCCATTTGCATGAGCTCCCTAGAGTAGCCAGATTCAAAGAGACAGAAAGGACAATGGTGGGTGCCAGGGGCTGGGGGAGAGGGGGTGGGGTATTATTGATCAATGCATATGCAGTCTCCATTTTGCAAGA